CAGCATGTCCCGGGCAGATTTATGAAGTGGGCCCTATTGCTGGGGAGATTCCGAGGGGGTTTACTAAAATCTGTAGGGGGGTAGGAAAATTTTATGGCGTTTTTTGACTGTTTTGTCCCACATGAAGGGAATGAAGGTAAAACTGAAAATTTCTGTGAAATTTTCCACCTCGTATAAGCAGTGGAGGACCGGCCCGGCAGATCTCAGGTTAAGGGATCCAAAGTATACCGGAATAAATCAGCGGGGGTTTATTTGGTCCAAATACAGCGACAAACGTGTACATACGTAAGGTAGTAGAATTTGATGCTGCCCTTATATTTTTCCCTGAGGTAATCGGGTCAAAAACTGATCCCTCCACCCCGGGTTTTGAATGCCTGTCACACAGTATATAGCGCATAAAAGGCTGCAGGAAGTGACCAGAACCAAGGCTTGCCTAAAACCACCCCCCGCAGAGAAAAAATTTTAACTAGAAATAACAGGGGTGCAGCAGGGAAAATTTTGGGCCCACAATGGCAGAAAGATCAAAACTAGAAAAAACGGGTGAAAAAAGAATTGGGATACAATGCCAGTTAAATAAAAAATTGGGGAAAACAGCACAGGGGTCATCTGACAAACTGTCTCCGGCCACAAACCCCAAAAAGAACAATTTTTTTTTTAAAAACGTCCAAAAATGTTGCGTCATTTCTTTTAGGCCAGTCAATGTGCCTTTGGAAATTGAAAACCTCTTCACCGTCTTTTTTTCAACGTGGGATTTGCGGGGGCTCTCAGATAGTTGGCTTCAAAAAGGCGTCTTTCTTATTGTAACAGTCTCACGGGTAACTTTGGGCCCTTCTTTGATCTTCCTGAGCGTTTGTGGTGAGCCCTTCCCATTTTGGCTTTTTTCTTCACCTTCAAAGGGATTTTTTCACATTCTTCCCTTTTCAGGGTTTTTTTGCCATTTTTAAAAATTTGCGATCATTTTAGCTACAGCTTATCATTTTCTGACTTCTTTATAGTTTTTTCCCCCCTTCCCCTAATTTTTTTTTTATTGTACATGGTAACATAAAACAACAGCAATTTTAAAGTGATATTGTCACAAAAAAAGGCCATTTTGAAAAAGTACAATACATAAAATATATTAAAAAAACAAAAAGGGTAAAAAAAAGAGGGGTTACGGGGCAAGAAATACGAAAAAGTAAAGTTAGGTTGAGTAATACATCTGTCCGTATATTCGGGCCAACTTTAGGGGTTTATTAACCCTCAATAAAAGTTACAATCTCTCCAGACTATTTTTTTACGTATAAGTGCATCTATCCCGAGGGGGAAATGAATACGTTTTTTTTTAGCATTACGCGTCAAATTTTGTGTAAAAAAGGAGTCCAAGGGGACAACATTGGGCCTCCAAATTGTGGCAAAAACCCTTAAAAGGGGAAAACTATGAGCATCAATCTAGTTGGGATCAGAGCCCCCCGGGATATGGGCCCCCAAAAAACAGGTCTGCATGGACAACGTACGGGGTACCCCACAGGAGGCAGCCACCTCAGAAACCTACGCCAGATCAAAGATATTTTTCGGGCAATCCCAAAATATATGAACCAAAGTACCTGTAAACCCCACAGCCTCGAAAAAAAAAGGGGAAAGGGTTTTGGGGAAAAAACAATACATGAAAAGGTCTTGAGGGGGTTAGAATACCATCTGGATAGAACAAAAAGGGGGGCCGTCTCACAACCGAAAAGATTAGAGCTCTTGCATAATTATCCCCAGGGGAACCCCAAAATCCTCACCGGGAAAAAGTGATGCCAAAAACCCCCCCCTTTTTCTCTGTAAAAAGGGGGGAGCATAAAAAAAGACAGATAAAAAATTGGTGAAAAAGATCAAAAAATGAACCCCTACCCCGGGAGAGTAATGGCTGATACTTTAAAAAAAAGGGAAAATTCGGGGGAGGATGGGGAAGGGCCAAAGTGCGCTTTAAAAAAATTTTTGTCTAAAAAACAAAGGGGGGGGGGGACTAAAAAAAAGGGGAACATCAAAAAACATGCGCCGGGGGGGGGAATCGAAGGTAATGTAAAATCCTCCTCTTTGGAAATCAGATAAAACTGATAAAAGATCGATCATACCACCAATTTAAAAATTGGAGGGGGAAAAAAAGGCTACAACAAAAATAGGGTCCCAAAATAAGGACACACCTGGGGGGAAAAGGAGAGACAAACTCAATTTAAAATTTGTTTTTGGCCCAAAAGTGTCAGCGATTGGGGCACTATAGAGTTAAGAAAAAAACGATCGGGGAGAAGTTTTAAAAAAAATTCCCCCGGGAATAAAAAAAGGGCGTAAACGACTAGACTCAAAAATTGATCCATGGGGTTTGGGGAGTTAATAGTAGCCCATTTTTGATTTTTTGGGGCAAAACGAGCCGGGGAGGGAAATAGCCAAAAGTTAGGAAGACCAGAAACCCCCGTTTGGCGAACAAAATGGGTTTAGGGAAAAAAGTGGGTGCTTATTTCCCCAAATAAAAATGTTAATAGCCGCTGAAAATATCCCCAAAAAAGCTTTTGGGGACCCGGAAGGGGGGGAAATGCTCCCAAAAAGAAAAAGCAGTTTTGGGGGAAAAATTCATTTTAAAACCCCCGTGGGGCTCCAGAAAGGGGATAATAAAACCCTGCCAGAAACTTTAGTAAGTAAGAGACGTGATACACATGGTGGATAAATTTGCGTAAATAAATCCCCCAGTATCTTGGGGGTGAAATTAATCCCCGATAGATACCAGTCCTTGACCCAGCAAAAAGGGAAAAAAACTACGGAGAAAAATGCACTTAGGGGGTCAGGAACATTAAAAAGGCATAATCACAGATTTTGGGAAAATTTTAAAGGTGAGGGGCCTGAACCCTTTTTTTAAAACGTTCCCGTACAGCAAAATCATCAGCACCCTGCTCACTAAAATTGAAACTAATAATAATAGCCAAAATATCCAAAGTGAATTTTAAACGCCAATGCCAAAGGTTCCCAAAACCAGCGCAAATAAAAGGGGTTTAAAGTGGACAGCCCTGGGGGGTTAAAACCCCTACCCAATTTTAAAAAATTTAGAGTTACAGCCGGGGAAACCTAATTCTTTTTGTTTTTGGGAGTACCAAAAAGGGAAAGTATGCCGCCAAAAAACCCCTCACTGGGAAGCCCATTTTCTGTAACAAGGAGAACAAGTAGGGCCAAGAACACTGTCAAAGGCCTTGTTATATCCAAACTCATCAATCAGAACCTCTTTGGAATGTAAATTGACGTTTTTGAATAACATTTAGAGTGAGACGAATGTTATCAGTAATAAATCTGTCGGGAATAAAACCCGACTGGTCTGGAGAAACCAAAGAGGAGATGATAGGGGCCAACCGGTTTGCCAAAATACGGCTAAATATTTTTAGATCGTTATTCATGACCGAGATTGGTCTATAGTTTTGTGGCAAACAGTGGTCTTTCTGTGGCTTGGGTATTAGAGACATGTTAGCCAACAACATCTCCTCAGGGAACTACCCCCCCGCAAAACATCATTAAATAAGTTATCAAGTATGGAGCCAATGTAGAGGCAAAATGTTTATAATAGCTAGCGGTAAATCCGTCCGACCGGAGCAGTAGAGCGTTAAGCGCGCTTATCGCACATGTTATTTCCTCTAAAGTACAGGGGGCATTAAGAGAGGCAATCTGAAGGGTGTAGAGCAGAGAGGAGTATAGAATCCAGCCATGAGTCTGAAGAGGAACAGAATCAGACTGGGAGGAGCTAGTAGCTTAAATAAAAATTTTCGAAAATACCCAAGGGAACCCTTCCTGAGGTATAATGAAGATAGCACCCGAATTTGTCGAAATTTATACATGTGTGGGGGGCGCAGAGAGTGGTTCAACTTCCTTGCAAACAGGTAGAATGCCAAGTTACTATTAGGGATGAGCGAAGTATTCAAAAATTCGATTCGACTTATTCGGCGGACGAATTTCGTGGAATAAATTTTTGATTCGATTCGAATATATTCGCTGCGAATTTAACTTACAAAAAGGGTGTTTCTAGGCTTCAGAGAGCCTTTATATTAGTGCAGAACACTGTACCTTTAATTTAAATGCCCTTGGAGTCTGCTGGGGAAGAGAAATAATACTGCTCCACAGTCAGTATGACTGCAGATGAGTGCCGTCTCGATCTTAGAATCACCGCACACTTCACTCATTTGCTTTGGCATTCACGGGGCCAAAACCAAGTGTGTTGGAGCCACAGTTTGTGGCATGGTGGAGGCAGCAGCAATGGGAGGCCATACAGCACCCTATGAACAAAAATGGAAACCACCAGCAGTGCGGAAGGATGACATGAAAGTGGCAGTTTTAAATGGGCAGAGGCGATGGCGAACTGGAGACAGCAGCTCAATGGGAGGTACCATACAAGAACCATGGAAACACCTGGACCTGGCAGCAGCATGAGGAGCAGGGGCCCATGACAAGATTATAGGCCTGGCAGCATCAATGAGGAGTAGGTACGCTGTGGTATCCCATGGCAGATTACGGGCCTGGCAGCAAGCAATGGTAGGCCGTACAGGACCCATGGACACACACTCTTGGACCCTGGCAGCAGCATGAGGAGGCGGTGGTACAGGGGAGCCCATGACAGATTAGGGCTGTCCTGGCCTGGCAGCAGCATGAGGAGTCGGTACGGGGGCCCAATGACACACTCTGACCCTGCAAGCAGCAAGACATGAGAGCGGTACAGGGCGCATGACAGATTACGAGCCTGGCAAGCAGCACAACTTGGACAGGAGGACCGTTCAGCTTCTGCGATCCGTCGGGTGCGTGCTCTAGCAAACTGTTGATCTCTTGGAAACGGAATTCCATACGAGTAAGGACTAGCATGACGGAATCAGTGAAGTGGACTGCAGGAGTGGAAGAAGGAGCATCTGGAAACGAGCGGATTATGCCGAAACAAAGCGACAACAGGGAGCCCATGAAGAGATTACGGGCCTGGAGTGCAGCAGGCAATCGAGGAGGAGTCGGTGTAAGGGGGCCCATGGCATGATTACGAGGGCCTCGTGCAACAAGCAATGGGAGGCCAAGTAAGTTCTGCCAGCCACCCTATGACAACAAAATGGAACACACCCTAGCAGTGTGATGAGGAGACCTGAAAGTGGCACTAAAATGGCAAGATGTGGTGATGGAGACAGCAGCAAATGTGTGGCAAGGCTACTATACTAGGGTACCGGGACCCATGAGAGACGCTCTGGACCTGGCAGCAGCATGAGGAGGCGGGGGGGTACAGGGGCCCATGGCAGATAAGGGGACCATTGGCAGCAGCTAGTGGGAGGACCCGTAATCTGCCAGCACCCTGATGTGTGACAAAAATCGGAACCAACACCAGCGTGGACTTTCCTTTTGTTCGTGTGAGGAGACCTGAAATGTGGCACATTCTATGAGAAAACACTATGTGTGTACAATAACTGGCGGAGAGTGGAGGTAGCTAGCTAGCAATGGGAGGCCGTTTTACAGGGGTCCCCATGAGAGACTGTGGACCTGGCAGCAGCATGAGGAGGCGGTTACTGGGGCCCATGGCCAGATTACGGGCCTGGCAGCAGCAATGGGAGGCCCGTAATCTGCCAGCACCTATGACAAAAAATTTTAAACACCCCCAGCAGTGTGAGGAGACCTGAAAGTGCAAAATGGCAGAGTTTTGTGGCGATGGAGACAGCAGCAATGGGAGGCCGTACAGGGACCATGAGAGACTCTGCACCCGGGAGCAGCATGGGAGGCGGTATGGGGCCCCGGCAATTAGGGGCCTGGCAGCAGCTAGGGAGGCCCGTAACTGCCAGCACCCTATGACAAAAAATGGAACACACCCGCAGTTTGAGGAGACCTGAAGTG